TCTCTCTCTGGGACTACTTCAATGGCTGGACTCCCCATCTCCAGTCTTACCTGCCTCAAGTCCATTTTCAAGTGTGCCTCTCTAATTTCATTGCTCCTTGCTAAAGGCCTTCATAACACCTTGCTTTTGGATAAAGTCCTAACTCCTTAACATGACCAATCTTACTTCTGACCTCCAACCAGCTTATCTTTCACTCTTGTGTCCCCATTCTCCTCTCTTGCTCCAATTTTAGGCCATTTGGTAATTACTGATCGGTTTGTATGTCTCCATTTTCAGGTACAGCTAAGCCTGAGATCCTGTGGTTTTAGGATATAATATAAAGAAGGAACAATTTGAAATCAACATGTTCATTCAATAGTCATCAACTGTTTGCTGAGCACCTACCAGGAACCAGTGAGTGTTGGGACCATGAAGTTGAACAAGGAGCTCTCAGGCCGGGGGGAGATACAGATATGTAACTCAAAAAATTGCAATTCACTGTGATAATTACACAAGAGGCACAAAATAAAGGGTAGCTCCAAAGGTGGGAGGGAGGTATAAATTTTGCCTCGGTTAGTGGTGGCGTAGAGAGAGAGAGAGAGGTTAGGGTGAGACAGAGGAAGTTTTTATAGCAGGTAAGTTGAATTGGTGTCTGTGCAGAGTGTGGAATGGGATCTATTCAGCAGATTTTAAAAAAGAATAAAGTATTCTGATATAGGAAAAGCAGAGTCTTCATTATTAAAGTAAATTGGGATTGCACAGGAACTAAATGTACTTAATCATTACAGATAACTTAGAACAAAACAACTGGATTCCTCTTGGTTAATGAGAGGCAACTGACTGACACGGGTACAGCTTATATTCCCTGAAAGTCTTGTCAGACCATGTTTCTCAATTTTACTTTAATCACAGTTATGGATGAGAAATTGTTTACTTACTAACAAGGATGGAAAAACAGGCATTTAGATTAGATATTCACACGTTTTCAGCACTTATCAAGTATTACAGTGAAAAATTACAGTCCTCATTTTCAAGGAACTTTAGGAAGCCATTAAAAGACATTAAAAAGGAGTGTTCTGATCAAAAGTTAGGAGAGCAAAGCATCATAGTGACATTGAATGTCAGAATTGGAAAAGATCTTATACATTATCTATTCTATTGCTCTCATTTTACAGATAATGTAAATTGACATCCAGAAAGATGAAAGAATATGCCAAAGTTATCCTGGTAACTATGGAATCCTGGAACTTAAATACAGGACTTCAGAGTGTCAGATACTGAACAGGAAAAATGTTGCAAAGGAATATATTATATTCTCTACCATCTTGACAGTTTCCAAAGCACTATTGGAGGTTAATCTCAGGTGCCTTAATTTAATCTTGCCTGGAGATGTGTCCTGCCTAGTGGATTAGTCCATGTCTAAGAAAATCTTCCAGTATCATCAGGGAGAAAAGGCTAAGACCCATGAAACAGAGGGCAACGTTAGACTCTCATGTGCCAAAGAAAAATCTGCTGTTGGAAGTTAGAGAAGAGAGGAATTGCTTTGGACCAAAGTAGTTCGGGAATAAAGAATTGGGGTCCACTCTTCAATGATGAATGGAGGGAAAGTAGGGTAGCCATTGTTGGAAAGAAATGGTGGGAAGAGCAAAGGCAAAGGAGAAACAGCAGGAGCGAGCCCACAGTGTCTGGGTCTGGGGAGAAAACTGGTTAGGAGAACTGGATTTAGAGGAGGGGGAAAAAGCACCTCCTGGAATTCTCTTCCAGTTCTGTAATTCAGTGATCTTTTCTGTTCTGATTACCATTTTACCTTCCTTCTGGAAGGAAGCCAGAAAGAAAGAGGTTTCCTTTAACCAATAACTAAACCAGTAATCTCCAAAGAAGTGCTTCTCAGAGAAGGAAGGTGTTGAGGTAATCCAGTTTGCAATTAAACTGCCTCAGGCCGGGAGGAAGCCCAGCGCCACCAGAGAAATTCCAAGGGAGTTTTAGCCCTCACCTGTGGGAGCTGACTTCCTTCATGGGATATATATATATATATATATATATATATATATATATATATATATATATATATACATATATATATATACACATAACTGGAAACCTCTTAGCTTGAGACAGACTCCTAGGAGATCACAAGTAGCAGCCCTTCCTGAACTCAGGTAAGAGAGCTCCCTCTCTCTACACTATTCGCATGGTTCTGGGGATGAGCCCAGTTCTCCTAGTCATCTAGCCAGGTGTGTTCAGGGCCATGTCTAAAGGAGTCCTTTGCATTAGGACAAAATATCCTAGAGAATAGGGAATTGTCATGTTTATCTTTGTATTCCAGTACCTAGCATGATATTCAAGACAGTGGGTGCTTAATAAATGCTGATCGAATTGTTGAATTTAACATATATTTACCATATACCGACTATGTTCAAGGCAACTAACATCATTCTCTATTTAAAATGAGTTGATCACTCACTAGATGCTAGGTGTACGAATCATTTTATTTAAATGTCAATAAATAATCATTTTATTTAAATGTCAATAAATAATCATTTTATTTAAATGTCAATAAATAAATCATTTTATTTAAATGTCAAAACAAATTTCTGGGGTAAGTTTAATTATAACCATTTGGGGGCTAAGAAAACAAAACTCAAGAGAGGTGAGTTGACTTGTCCAAGGTCACATAGATGGAGAGTGACTAATTCATCCAGATTTACCTGTGACGTTTTCAGTTTTAAAAGTTAAAGTGCGGCTTCCCTGGTGGCTCAGTGATTGAGAGTCCGCCTGCTGATGCAGGGGATGTGGGTTCGTGTCCCGGTCCGGGAAGGTCCCACATGCCGCTGGGCCCGTGAGCCATGGCCGCTGAATCTGGGAAAACTGGGACAACCTACACCGATGGGGACTTGTAGAGCAGGCATTTGGACCTAGTTCTCAAACCCAGAGTTCTCTCTGATACTTTTGGGTTTGGTTTGTTTATTCCCTTTTCCTACATGTGGCAGTATACCAGGTGAATATGAATGTAAAGTATACCGAGCCTATTGATTGGAACGTAGGAAAAACATCAGTAAGTGGTAACGATTATCAGTGCTGTACCAAGGCATCCTGGAACCTAAGGCAAACAGGAAAGATGTACACCTCTTTATATATGCTTTTTTAAGATTTTTATTGGAGTATAGTTGATTTACAATGTTGTTTTAGTTTCAGGTGTACAGCAAAGTGAATCAGTTATACATATGTATATACATAGCTCCAATCTTTTTTAGATTCTTTTCCCATATAGGCCATTATGGAGTATTGAGTAGAGTTCCCTGTGCTGTACAGTAGGTCCTTATTCGTTATCTATTTTATGTATAGTAGTGAGTATAAGTCAATCCAAATCTCCCAATTTATCCTTCCCCGCCTTACACCCTGGTAACCATAAGTTTGTTTTCTACATCTGTGAGTCTACTTCTGTTCTGTAAATAGTTTCATTTGTACTCTTCAGCATTTTTTTTAATTATTTTATGTATATTATTTTTCCAAGACATTAAGGTAGTTGAAAATTATTGAAAAATTGATAATTAGCTGCATTACAACTCACATTGTTTTTAAGTTTAAATATGTTATTTATGTCCCAAACAGAATTTATTATAATTTTACTTTCCTGGTTTTAAGGGAAGAAAACTCATCACTAATATTTTCATCATATATTTCTGATACATAAAAACATAGATATGGATATAGATACATAGACAGATATAGACGGATGGATAAACATATGTAGATATAGATGGCTAGATAGATGATGTATAGATAGATAGACAGACAGATAGGAGCACTCATTTCCCCTTTTGTCCTGGGTTCCAATATGGCTCAGCATGGCCCTGTCAGATTCTGTCTTTATTGAAATTGTTAATCTTTTGTTCATCATGGATTGTTTTCATTAATTTTGCTACTGCATTAAAATATTATTTATCTTGATTACTGAGACTTTTGTCTCCTTAAATTTTGTGCCTGAGGTGAGTGCTGCACTCTCTTCTCCCTAATCTCAGTGCGTTATCATTTTACCTTAAAACTCAGCAACTACTAGAAAGTGCCCTCTTACAGAGCAAGCCTCATCCCAAGAAGAAATGAGTTCCTTCCCACCTTTTTCCTCTTTCTTTTGGGATCGCTTACTTGATCCTCAGCCTGAGTTACAAGGCTAGGAAAGCGCATACTCTTGGATTAGTCCCAGGTATGCCTGACTGATGCCTTCCTGCAGAGGGCGCTGTGGAGTCAAAGCACCCCAGGAGGGTGGAGAAGTGTTAGGTGGAATTAGGCTGATTGCCCTTCAGAACTTGCCTTTTCCTGGCAGGAGGACTGTTATGAAATCATTGACTTTCTATTTGTCTTCGGGGCTGAAATAAATCTACTATCCTCAAATAACCAATCTGATCTCAGACAAATGCCAAATAGAGCTAAGTTCCTCTACCCTGGGGATGGACGTAAAATCCAGACAATTTCCCTGAAATGTTTTTGGTGGCTTGGCAACAGCTTCTATGAGGTTCAGTTTTCCCCCAGTCCCTCTGTGGGTCTAAGGGGACCAGAAGGGTGAGCTACATTGGCATTCTGGAAGGGAAGACTATATACGTCAACTCGCAAAAACAAGTTCTGACATTTTCCCTGAAATGTCATCCTCTATCTACTCATTGCAAGTGCCTGCTGCTCCAGGCCTTTCCTGCTGGACAATAACGATGGGGCTCGGATGGGGAGAGAATAAAGGAGCCAGGACCTGTAGCACCAACTCATACTCAGACCCTGAACAAGCACCTGAAGCCTTCTCTTCTCTTTTTTCTTAGTAAGTTGGACGAATATGCCAGACCATCTGAAGTCAGATGAAGCTATTAAGTTTCACCAGGGGACATCGGGGACTGGGGGAGGCATGTCTCTGGTGACAGGATTGGCTTCTTAAGGCATGAGATGGGGAAATCAGTAAGTCATGCTCTTTCCTTTGAATTCTTAGCTCCTGTGGTCTCCAGAATCTGGCTCCAGAATCTCCTGTGGTCTCCAGAATGAAAGGCTCTGGTCTTCCCCTCTGCCTTCTTTCTGCTGTGTTTTATGTCTTCTGGACACCTTCTGCCAGGCTGAAGACACTCCATTTGGGAAGCTGTGTGATCACCGCAAGTCTTCAGGCAATTCGAAGTGGATTTTCAGAGATACAGGACAGAGTGCTATGTGAGGGAGGGACCCCACCTTTCACTTTGTGACGGCCTCCCCACTTTCTACTTATTTTTCTCTGTCCCCCAGCAGTGGGATCACAAAAAGAGGCAGGCTGGGGACTCCTTACCAGGAGGATGTGTTCCCAGGAAATATCTGTAGTTCATAATTCAAAAGTGTTTTGGAGAGGGACTCTGCCCACTGTGCCATGGCAAGGAGGGGATGGGAGGTCTGGATGTCTAAGATCCTGGCAACAGTTACTGACCTGTACTTTTTCATCTTGCCTTCCTCTGTTTAGTAACCCAAAGATGAAATCATTGACCTCAGTATCTTGAGGAAGACTCAGCCTTTGCAAGACACAAAGGTACATGCTTGGTCTGTATGTGTTCTGGGAGGAAATAGGAGTCGGGGGCATCTCCATCACCCTTGTCCCTGGACACCCTCTCCCCACCAACACGCCAGTCTTCTTTGTAGCCTGCAGGTCAGTGCTGCCTCCTCCGCCATATACTGGGACTCTACCTGGACAGGGTATTCAAAAACTAACAGACACCTGACCACCATATCCTCCAGATCAGCGGTCTCGCCAACTCTTTTCTTACCATCAAGAAGGACCTCTGTCTCTGTAACTAAGGGTCTTGGGTAAAAGGATCCACCTCAGCACATAGCTTCAAAGACTTAGCAATCAGGCTCATTCTTAGCCCCATTTAATGGATGGAAAAACTGAGTCCAAGAGTTCTAATAATCTGTGTTGAGCCATGTGACTAGGTAATAAGAACTCAGTTATATTTACTTTTGAATACAAGCTCCATGCAAAATGTCTACAGAACTATGAAGTGCTACCTATTTGATGTCACTGATAATTTCCTGGTATCCATGAAATTATGCTTCTTCTGTAGGTGAGTTATCCTGCGGCATACTAGTGCATACGGAGTCCAGGCAGCTAATCAGCAGACAACCGGACTCAATCTCAAGATAGGACCTAGGAATCCAATTCTCTTTCCCATGGGGGCTCTCTGGAGGGAGCTAGACTAGAACAGGGTTGGGGGGTGTAGGCCAGATGGGATACAGTGATCACAAACTCTTTCAGTGCTGCCTGTTTCTGAAAAGAAACAATGAGCTCTATATGCTTCCTCTTCTAGCTGGTGATCAGTTTAATGATCCTAAATAAGGAGGTCTGAAAAGACTTCTATAGGTGAAAGAATAGAACTTCCACCTACTTCGTGTCAATGGCAAGGGCAGAAAATCAGAATCTTTAATAAAATCTATCATTCTTTGGTATTATTTTCAGCATGCCCATATGACATGCCCTTGTGGGGAGGAAGCAATGGAGAAATACAGCCAGCTTATGAGCCACTTCGAAGAGGTATATGCAGTTTTGGCTTTGGTTGGGATGAGTGTGTTTTTAGAACTGAGATCATAGATGGGTGCGATAGATGTTCATACTCAAAGAAATGTTATAGCCCTCAGGTTAATGGCCCTCTGAGGTCATGTGGACTGTCCCTCTCCTTTAACCCGGGGGATACCCATCCAGGCTCTAGAAGGGTGCTGTCTCTGCAAGATGCTCTGGGAATCGAGAAGGAATAGCCATGATTCCATCAAGTCACTCCAGAGACATCTGAACTTTCCAGCTACACAAACTAGAGGCGATAATTTTCTGACATTCACACACTTGTACATACCCTCAAAAATAGTCACTCACAATTTCATGCATGCCCATGCCATGCTGTTTCTCACATCAATGCCTTTGCGCATCTGCCAGGAAGGCCGGAGTCTGCTCCACACTCACTCATTCTTACTCATCCTTTAAGACTCAGCCTAGGCATCACCTCCAGGAAGGTACTGGCTACTTCTCTCAGAGTTAAGTGCTCCTGTCATCCTGTGGGGACCCCATCATCTATTTACCACACTACATTTTAATTGTCTGCTTCTGCCTGTCTCCCTCACTCAACTGTGAATTCCCTGTGGGTAGTGATGGTGTCATTCGTTCCTGAGTCCCTAGCCAGCCCAATGCTTAGCACAATAAATATTTGTTCCATTGAAGGATGCACAGTAGGCAACCCGTACACACACACACACACACACACACACACACACACACACGTGCAGACACACACACACAGACACACATCTTTCTTTAAAACACAGCCTAATTACTTTGATCTTTGTGATTCAAGAGGCTTGAGTTGTAGTCCCAATTCTGCTACCCACCCTGGGCCTCAGTTTCTCTATGTAAGACTAGGATGATTGGACTCAATGATTTTTCCTCCCTCTTGTGAGATCTTGAGGTTCCATAATGTCTCCTGAGCTCTTCATTTTGAAAAAGATGCTCTGTTTACAATCTCCAATAGACCTACCAGTGACAGGAGAGGATTAACCTTGGAGCCCACATTGTCTCTTTATGAGTTGCTCACCACTTCATTTGGTATCTTCCAGCTTCAGCCTCAGGCAGCGGTGGTGAAGGCTTTGGGGGAGCTAGACATTCTCCTGAGCTGGATGGAAGAGATGGACTAGGAAGAAAGTGATGCTGCTGAGAGTATTCTGGGCCCAGACTCCCAGCCCTCAGTACCCAGGAGGCATGACCCCAAACCACCATCTCTTTGTTGTATAATTTAGTACTGGTCACTGTGTATATTATTTATTTATTATTTGTTTCCTTATTATGATTATCTTCATGTGTTCCTATTCTTAATCTAGAGTTTTATCAGATTTTTTTTTTTTTTTTTTGCGGTACGCGGGCCTCTCACTGCTGTGGCCTCTCCCATTGCGGAGCACAGGCTCCAGACGCGCAGGCTCAGCGGCCATGGCTCACGGGCCCAGCCGCTCCGCGGCACGTGGGATCCTCCCAGACCGGGCACGAACCCGTGTCTCCTGCATCGGCAGGCGGACTCTCAACTACTGCGCCACCAGGGAAGCCCTAGAGTTTTATCAGATTTTAATAAGATCTTTTTTACTGTTGGGTGTATTTATTAGTTAATATATTTATTTTTGCTATTTAACTTATTTATTTTTATATTTGAAGATAAGACTTTTAAAAACAATTCACAGATTATATTTATAACCCAACTAGAGCAGGTTTTTCTTTGAGTAAACAAACCTTCTAAATTCTAGAGGAGTGGCTAGAATTTTGTTAAATTAAGGACATGTTTACTGACCACCAGTGCTTTAAGAGATACTTAAAACTGAACCAATGGCTACTAAGCCTGGGTTGTGGAAGAACTTCTGATGTGAAATTACAGGCTTGTCTTACAATTACTGACCACCCCTACTCAACTCTCAAACCCCAGACTTCTGTATCTTCCATTTATGGAATCCTCTGGGGCCAGAATGTATTTTTACAAATAAAATTTTCTCCGTATGCTATCTGCTTCGAGTTTGAAAATGCTTCAGGAGTAGAAACAATACTGGGGATGAGCTTGAATCTCATATTACCTAGGGACCTCTTGCTTCTTCGGGGAAGAAAGATGCCAGTGAGAACCTGGGCCTTCTCTCCCCTGCCAAATGCATCCCCAGCTCTATCTCCTAAATCACCCACAGCTCTGATCCCATGACTCTGCCCTCCACATAAAGGGACTGTGACTGGGTGAGGGGCATCAGTCCTCCCTGCTTCCTCCTTGCTGGTGTTGAGCACTCTCCTCTCTGTACCACTGTTTCCCTTCTCATTTCAGGCTCTCATAATTCTGTGTCAGAGGTCTTAATTGCAACACAAATTATAATGGGCAGGAAGCTCTATTATAAGGGCTAAGAATGCACAGGGGCAAAGTGTAGTTCCCGAGCCCTGCCCAGCGAGGTGCATGAGCCCTCTTTTGAGGTCCTTCCATTTTGGATTCTGGCCAGCCTCATGGTATAGGTTGCTCCTGGATTAAGTCTTTGAGTTTGGAAACAACTATTAAGTCAGTGTTCTCGTTCCAGGCCCCTTTCATGTTGAGCTTCCCTGGGCTTGAAGGAGCCAGATTTCTGGCCTGGACTCTGCTTGCCTCCTTCCTCCCCAGCTCACTCCGAATAACACCTCAGCTTAGCAGTTTAGTTTCCACAGTTTAAGAAACAGCAGACTGATGCTCCTATAGTGAGCTTTCCCACTGCTTCCGGTTTCACTCCCAGCCCTCATCCTCGGCCCTGATGAAGTTTAAATAATTTTATTGATTTTTTTTTCTCATTATTAAGTAACAACTACCCAGTAGAGAAATTTTGGAAAATACAAAAAATATAAAGAAGAAAATGCAAATCACTCATAATCTTATCACCCATAGATAACCATTCTGAAATATTTAAGTGTTTTTTAAAAATTAATTAATTAATTTATTTATTTTTGGCAGCGTTGGGTCTTCGTTGCTGCACGCAGGCTTTCTCTAGTTGTGGCGAGCGGGGGCTACTCTTTGTTGCGGTGCGCGGGCTTCTCATTTCTCACTGAGGTGGCTTCTCTTGTTGCTGAGCACGGGGTCTAGGCGCGTGGGCTTCAGTAGTTGTGGCACACGGCCTCAGTAGTTGCGGCTCATGGGGTCTAGAGCACAGACTCTAGAGCACAGCCTCAGTAGTTGTGGCTCACAGGCTTAGTTGCTTCATGGCATGTGGGATCTTCCCATACTAGAGATCGAACCTGTGTCCCCTACATTGGCAGGCATATTCTTAACCACTGCACCACCAAGCAAGTCCCTAGGTGTGCTCTTCTCAAGATCTTTTATCTTGGATTCAAATCATGATTCAACTCTGATTACCTGATTGATTTGGGCTGTAAAATTTAACTTAGGAACCTCTGGAAAAGATGATAACACCTACCTTTCAGAGTGATGGAAGAGATGGTCTTTTATGTTCCTTTGAAACAAGGCATTTTTGCTTTTATACTCCCCATTATGATCACCCTTCTTCTATCAGATTTTCCAGTTGCCTGTCTTCTGGTTTCCCTGACCAGTCTGACAAACGACTCAGCTTTAACTCTCAAGGCACAGTTGTGAAGTCAACTTCACTGAACTCAGTGTTAAAATTAGAACAAACATGAGACATGCTGAGGGCGTGTCTCAGGTTGACCCACAGAACTGAGGATGAAGCTCCTCCCTTTGTTCTCTGGGAAGCATTACTGATTCTTCTGAGACTCTGGGCCATGGGACGCCTTGGTCTTTTGGAACTCCACATTACCGTGTAGCCACTCCTTGCCTGTTTATTCCTGTCCCCTGCAGGACCCTTCTCCTCCTCCAAGTCATTTTTCTGGTCTCTGCTTGACCTACAGTACCAACAATGGGGAATTCAGCAGTGGAGAGTCAAGCCAGTTTGGAGACTAAGACAAAACTTCATGAAGGTGGGCCATTAAGGGACAGACTCTAAAGAATAGTTTACAATTGTCACTTTCAATTCTAACAGCGAAAATGATCGTTGTCATTTATTAGGTACTTCTCATGTGCCAGGCACTGTTCTGGAAGCTTCACATACATTATCTTATTTAATCCTTAAAACAATCCTGTGAGGTAGATTATTATTACCAGTTTGCAAGGGAAAATGTGCTCAGAGATGGTAATTTGTGCAAGGGCAGAACCAAGCTTTGAATCCGGACATCCTGATACCACGGCCCTCTATGCTTTCCCACTCTACTGTCTTCTTTCCCAACAGTGGCATCTAGTGTTCAGAAGCTCAGTGGGAAGGAATAATAAGTTTAGGCTTCATAGGGACATGAGTGAAAATCCTGACTGGGACACTCACTATCTTGGACCAGTGACATAACTATCCTTAGTACTGTCCTTAGTTTCTTCACCTGCAAAGTAGGATTATACTACTTATCACGCTGAATTGATGTGAAGACTAAACAAGATTGTCATATCTAACTTGTACCAGTATTTATTAAGTATCAGGTACTGTTTTAAGTGTGTTGCAAGTGCCTGCTCATTTCATTTGCACAAGAGCATGATGAGCTAGGTGTCCTTGTTATTCCCATTTTACAGATGAGAAAACTGAAGACCAGAAAGGTAAAGTATCTTGTTCAAGTTTATAGCTAATAATGGTGAGGGTAAAATATGATAGAGTAGGCAGCCTGGAGAACCGTGCATTTAACCACTTGACTTTGCTGCCTGGCTGGAATGCCCAGTACGTAGAGAGCACTTGATCAATAGAGGCTCTGGATATAGCAGTGCTTCTGCCTGAAGGGGAAAGTGATGAGCCTTCCTGCCAAGCTGTAGCACTAACTATTAACTTCCTGGTGCAACTTATCTCTGTAACATCTGTACTGAACTTCATTTTTCCATGGATCTGAACCTTGTTTCCTCAACAAGCAGAGCAAGTTCCTTTGGAGGTGATAAGATAAATATGCTAAATCTCAGGTTGACCTATCAGTTCTGATTACTCTTAGCTCTTAGACCTTGGATTAAGAATCTTAGACCACTGGGTCTTCCCTGGTGGCGCGGTGGTTGAGAATCTGCCTGCTAGTGCAGGGAGCACAGGTTCGAGCCCTGGGCTGGGAGCATCCCACATGCCGTGGAGCAACCGGGCCTGTGAGCCACAACTACTGAGCCTGCGCGTCTGGAGCCTGTGTTCCGCAACAGGAGAGGCCGCGACGGTGAGAGGCCCGCGCACCGCGATGAAGAGTGGTCCCCGCTCGCCACAACTGGAGAAAGCCCTCGCACAGAAACGAAGACCCAACACAGCAAAAATTAATTAATTAATTAAACTCCTACCCCCCAACATCAAAAAAAAAAAAAAAGAATCTTAGACCACTCTACTTCTCTGGGCCTCAGTTTCTGATGAGAGATTGCATATAGAAATAGACAATGGCTAGACCATGTATAAAAGTAGAACTCTGATCCACAATCTGCAGCAACCATCCCAGGAAACCAATCCATTGTCTGCAGTAAACAGCCTATGAAGCCAGTCTGCTATCTGTAAGTCACACTTGTATGAAATCAGACCACAATCTCTAGCAACCAGCTCGTGAAGCCAAACAATAACTCCTGTAGCCACTGGATCCAAATGGCCAGAATTTGATTAAAAACCGACAGCTTCCCTAATTTTTTTTTTTTTTTTTTTTTTTTTTTTTTTTT